CCCCCCCCCCCCCCTGGATCCGCCACTGGCCTATGCGAGCACATAGCAGGGCGGTTGACTGTGCCTATGTGAGCACATAGCAGGGCAAATGACTGTCTATGCGAGTACATATTAGGGCAAATGAATGCGCCTATATAAGCACACATAGGACGATTGGCTGTGCCTATGCGAGCACATAGCAGGGCGGTTGACTGTGCATATGCGAGTACATAGAAGAGCGATTAACTGTGTCTATTAGGGGGAAATAATGCCTATGCGAGCACATAACAGGGCGATTGACTGTGCCTATGCGAGTGGGTAAAATGGCGAATTACTGAGACTAAGTGAACACAAAGTTACTGTGTCTATGTGGGCACATAATATGGCTAATGTATGTGCCTATGCGAGCACACACCAAGGCGAAAACTGTGCCCATGCGAGCATATAGTGGAACAAAATACAGTGCATATGTGAGCAGCAGGGCGAATGACTGTGTGTGCGAGGACATATTGGAGTGAATGACAGTCTATTCATAGAGTAAAATTATACAACAATTGAAAAAATAACAATAATATAATGTATCAGTACTCATCTTATGATATACGTCAAGTGAAATCGGTTTCTATGGAAACAATGTTGTATCTCTCGTTAAAGTTATTTTTAACGAGAGTGGAGTTCTCCTAACGTTTATGCACCTAGTTTGGCAATATTATAATTACAGTCGTTCGTACAAATACGTATTTTTAGCTACAATTCCCGACACCATACACGCCTTGTACAAAGCCAATATATTTGAAGAGGTTTCGGTGGTCGACTACCTACACGTCGCGTTCGTTCGCGACGCAGACGCACACGCCTGATATTCTTCTTCGCTGTTATAACCTAATCAATATCGTACAAAATGGTGGTTGTAATTGTACTCCGAGTCACTTTCAGAAGTTGGATACTGACGAACAAGTTATCTATTTGGTCTACTAAAAACATGATCTTTAATTATAAACAACTCAAACAATTATCTAATTATACTGACGTGAATGTTCTATTTAATGTTCTTGAATTTATGTACACTAGTGCTGATTTTCTACATGCATGTTTACTTGACATACAGGCACAGTTAGATTCGAGTTGTTTCCACCCGCATAAATAAAGCAAATATGACGCTACACTCATATGAGTATGACAATAACAGAAGAAATTAAGCGACGCCAAATTACGACACACGTATGCAAAGCAATCCGCACAGATTCTTACTGTACTAAAAGAATCCCCAAATTTATCAACTACGTCTCATGAATATTTGTGTAATACGTACTCTCATATCATAACAAATACAAATGACGTCACTCATCACATGGAAGCCCCTTAACGACGGAGCAAATAAATTATTAATTAATTAATTACCATATTTACAAATTACCTTCGATTTCCCTCTTAGAATTTTAAATAATGTCAATATACTATATAAAAGATATTTAGTACACGAACATTTGCTCCAGTTACAACCAGTGAACTAGTACGGTTATGACAAAATGCTCCCATTAAATGACAGAACATAACCGTAACTACTGAATAATAATGATATAAACATCTCATACTAACTAGAAACTTCTTGGGAAATACTTCATTGTTTATACTCTTGGTTGTTGTATGTTGTAAATGATTTCCACAGTTTAATTTCAATTACTTAGTAATTATTAAGTAATCCACAATGCTTTTGATCCTGTTCCGCTGACTGTTCTGTTGTCTAAACCGGTTTGTAATGTTTTACTTCAATGTAGAAGCATCAGTGTTATCAATATCGACATTTATGCCACTCGGTCACCTACCATTCATTATTTGTTCATTGCGGTAACTTAAAGTTTTAACACATCCAATGTCGTGTTTACATATGCAGAATAGGTGTACAATCCACTCTTGTCAAATCGAATATTCTTGTATGAACACATATGCTATCATATGATTTATTGAATGACGACACACCATGGCAGATGCATCATGAAGTACTGTATCAGCTCAGGAGAAGATCCAGGGCAGTTGGTTAGCTCCAGTTCTTCCAGGTTACGTAATTGCACTAGTCCAGATAGCCCAGCCGATGTCAACAACGGACAACCTACAGAGGAACGGGGATAACATGATATATTCAGTTACGATTGTTCTAAATATCTTTGTTGCGATAGTTAGTGTTTAATGATACTACTGAGGAGGGGGTCCTCCTAATTGGCATGTCATGCTACGTATTTCTAATGGGCAGAATGAGGGATGTGTATCCGAAAGGACACACTGTGGACGTGTCTATAAAAGGACACGATGTAGAATGTGTCTCTAAGTACATATGGGTGTCGCCAAATGATCATAATTATATGGGATGTATTTCTAAACGAACATAATATCAGATGTGCAATGTATGGGACAAGAAGTGAAAAGGGCACGGAGTCGAACGATTCCATTCAATGTGCACGTCAATGTAGTTTAAAACCATGTGTCATTCTTGGAAACATTGCTTATGAGCGTATGTAACATGCAATAACATTAAAAGCATCGTCTATATAATGGATGGATAATTTAGATTGCAGTCTTCAACTGATTCTTGTGAACAGATACATTGTAATATATATTCATGTCGCACACAATAGAACATCCACTGCAATTTAACATATCAATGGCCCAAATAAAATGTCAAAACTGTACTAATGTCGAAGTAATGTATTTTAAGTAGCTACTGAACGTCATTTTCTCCGTAAATAATGTTCATTTATCGTCGTAAAACGTTTTATATCACAGTGTATAGTATAGTAGTGTGTGATTCATGACGAGATGTTAGTGAGACGAATTCCTAATGTGGACGATGAAAGATTATGCTGGACTCGCTAATGCGTGATTTTTGGTTCAGTGCGAGATTTCACGTATTGCGTGATTTTTTGTTTAGTGCGAGATTTCGCGTAATGCGTGGAAGGCGCAGATCAAACGTCTGCCGCAAAAATATAATAATTTGAACTTGAATTCCTTATATTTGTGTATTACTCTCGTTGTATACGTCATATATACTTGAATTTGTCATAGTGTCTACATGTATGTGACTATGTAGGTGCACGTTTTCATTTGGGACAAGTTTTTATTGGTATAAAGTTATAATCTAAATGCCACCTCTAAAACAACCATATACACAAGGCTACTTTTGTTATAGTTGTTATATGCCGATCTTTCATAGGTAAATGTGGCGTTGAGATCACAATTGATTATTATCAAAATTGTATAGCACATTATTGGGCGTGGAAATACCCCAAATAATATTTCGCGTTTCTCGAATGATTCGGGCGATTTTTTGACGTTGTTTCCCGCTCCCATGTTCAATTGCATGCACAACGCTGAGTCTCATAGTGAATTGAAAATGATATATATTAGTCATTTCCATAAATTACGGTTTGTATACGACTATGAAATTACGCCTACTCAATGGATTCAAATTGGGGGAGCGGCACTGTTCGTGATTACCGCCTCGTTACGTTAATTTAGCGACAATAGTGTGCGTGCATACGAGGAATGGTTTCTGTGATTGGTTTTGCTGTATTCAAAAAATAGTGGCTTTTATTTAGAGTGTATTCGCTATACATGATGTGAATAATAATTAATTCATTTGGATTTACCAGCCTCAATAAATGTGGATAACCTGTGGCCTGTATAAAAAATATGCCCCATTGTAAGCAATTTAATAAGCACAATATATCAACGTATATGTCCGTTGTTGGTGAAATAATTGGGAGTATAAATCTTTGTTTTGATTGCTACTAGCATCGGTTTGTAAAGGCCCCATCCTCCGTAAACACAGTGTGTTTTTTGAACGAGTAGCGGAATTGTTGTTGCAGAGAATTTTACTGCAATCTTTTATGAGTCGATTTCACAAAATCTTGTTTTAAGATTACGTTCATTCACAGCTCAATAAATATTGTTGTCCGGCATGTCCTGGCTACATCCATCAATTATAATCGACTGGAGTTATTCACTGATGCAATTAATTGGATCCCAGATGATTTGAATGTGTCAAAAAAAATCTAAAAAGTCAAAGTCGGTGTTTAATGCATAAAGCAGCCAGATGAAAACTATTCTTGCTTGTCATTGAGAAAACCCAGTGGTTTCACTATTTGCATGGCCACCGTCAAATAAAGCATATTGAATGAAATCTAATGGCATGTACATCAACATGTGTGATGGTTATGTCTATAGAAATATACTCTCCAGTTGTCGGCCAACCTCAAAATTTGTTCCATTGTTTAAGACCAGTAGACAATGAGACATTATGACCATTTGGTCAAAAATTATAAAATCAAATCAAATTAAACATTCACTGCGTACGACATCCAATAGCCTACGTCGGTGTGGACGGGTTTCACATTCTGCACGTAACAAACTCGGTTCTTGGGCCGAGGGAAAACATGCTCTGACGTAAGGCTAGGTGAATAGGCGCCCAAGCCACATGTGCCAAATATAGATATATTTGTAAACATGTCAACTATTGCATCTTTTAAGGTTGCTCGCCGTATATAATGTTTCTGACTCGTAAAAATTGTGCTATCGTATATGTTATTGATAATTTAAGACCTCATTAAATGACGATTGCTGAATACTACTTATATTAATACTGCATATTGTACTATATAATACCTGCTAGTGACAACACGTGTAAAGTTCTCATACTGTAGAGATGTTGTAGTCCGAAGTCTTGTACTTGGCAACACCATCTCAGATAGAGTGTCTTCATGCAGCTCATCGTAGACAGAAAACCCATACCTGTGTCTGTAATCCGTACACACCTAGGGATGAAAAAAAATTGAATCAGCAATAGTATATGTGATAATTATCAGTTTTGCTATACAATCAGACTAAAGACACGCACACACTCACTCACACGGAATTGAACTCTCGTTAACAGTGAAGTCTTGTTCTGCTAAATAACGTGGCGAACTGTTGCATTTCGTAAGGTGCCATTAGATAGCATTTGTCAACCAAGACCGGTCAATATTCTTCATTTGTCTTCTGGCCGTGACCATGCTATATATATTTGTTTTGTTGCCTTTAAAATATCATAGTCGTATGACTGAGCGCGGAATGTGTATTACCCGTGTTGTATACGTCATATATATATATTGGTTGTTGCATACTAGTATTACAAGTACGTGAATTAGGGTTAAAATGTTTAAAAGGTTGTGTGTATTGCAAGATACATTATGAGTAGAAAACCAGCGTGATTTTCTAAATGATAGAATATCATTAAATCCTTGTATTGTTCGATGAGTATCTGTTTACCACACAGCTTGTCCTATTCACTTTGCACTCTTAAAACCTTTCAGACGAAATGTCATACTGATCTTCCTTTCATCGAAAATGTTAAACCACTTAAACTCGATGACACCTTTCCTATTGAGTGGATTTCTATATGATACGTTGACATGTGACTAAGCGAGTATTCTATGTGCGATGCACTGTTGCTAGTCCTGATATTTTTAAGTGGAAATTAGAAGTGGTATTCTTCAAATAAAGTACATTTTTATCACAGAAACATTTATTCCTTGTTCCGGTTGGGAACTACGCGAGTCCTTATTTCAAAATGTATTTTTTTACCACACAACATAATGTCTACGGACATTAACACAGGATTTCAATCCGGGATCTATCAACAAACCACCACGCTTCTGGTGACAATGCCATGTCCACAATGAAGAAATATATACATAATATTTATTCTAATAAATGCATGTAAATCAGCAATAACGAAATGATATTGTCCTACAATCAAATTAGTTTTCGTACTAGAAGCCGATGGCACTGTATAATACTTTACACATTTTTATGTAATTTACATCCCAGTAGATGATAGTATTAAATGATGGAAATAAGTGACAGTTCGTAACGCAGATACGGCAACTTATAACAAATTATAAGTAAAAATTACTTGACAGGTCGTCTTTCCGTGTCACTGTTCGACATAAACTATGGTTGATAATTTATGTGTTCGTTATATGCATGCCATAATTAATATATAATCGTCATTTGGGATTAAAATGATATATTGCAGTCACCTACATCGTCATTACGCCGTACTCAACATACATACATAATACGGTACAAAGCGAGGCTCTCTGTGGGTGTTACATTACAGAACAAATTAGGAGCGCTCGCTTTCTAAAATGCAGCGATAATAATCATATTGTAATCTTTGTATGACCAAGATCGCAAATATTCTATTAATAAAGACACGTCGGCATATGTGGCGTCACGGTCGTCCCACACGACGTATGCTGTATATGTAAAATTATAGCTTATTTGCATCAAATTTTAAAATAATCGTTTTACATTTTTGTATTATAATATATTTATCATATAATTCCCTTGTCCGATCACTGTCAAAAACAACTAAGTAACTATAGACATGCAAATATTACAATGATCATGTCAAATTATACATCTAATTTACACACTGTACGTAACTACAGATACGCCCACAATAAATCAGCCAAGAAAATAATTCTGTGTTCTAATTATCGGAGTTATATTTTAACTTGTTGGGTTGGTTGCTATGGACACGCAACACTCCTCATCAATGTTGCCGATATCCATTTTATAGTACGTGTGTATATACAATAGCATACTTTTATGTATATGCCACATTACCCGTCATTCCCTCTCCATAGCTAAAGACTGTTTGTGGAAAGATACCAAAGATGATTTTTCTTCATTAACTCTTTCAACGATATCGTCAACTTTTGTCACTTATTACAAAAAGTAAATTCTGTGTTTTTAGCTTTTGGAAAATAATGTTTATATAAAGAAAATTGGTTCTTCTATTTTAATAGTTCGCGTTTGTAATTTATGTCATCATGTCAACTAAACTATACCGAAGATGGATTTCAAGGGTTCAACCCCTAACACCACGTCGTTTTATGATTATCCAAAGGTACTCGACCTTATGACGCAGCTGTTCATATCAACCCTACACGGTACACAATTTGAGAAAAAGCTAAAATGATTTGAATTGGTGAGATAAATTTCCCCATACACGGTTGTCAACACATTATTATTAATGCAGTTCGGTGACCACAGGAGTAGCTCCCCGGGCAGCCCAATGCCAATCTAAAAGTCCCCTCAGACATAACTAATGGTCTTTGCATATCGATGTAGGGGGATTGGCAAAACAGGCTAAAAACTTTCAGTATTCGAATATGCTTACAGCCAATCATTATTTTTATTTACGATGAATTATACTTAATTTTTCATACAAATGCAATGTTAAACAACAAATTTTAACATGCTCAAAAAACTAAAATGTATTCACATTAAACAGTCCTCCTATGATTTATTCCAATTACTCAAACGGTGACGTATCGAATTTGGTCGTGGAAATCCCTGATCAAACAACACAAACACATTCAACCTACTATTAGACCCCATGATTAACTATTTCACCCCATCCACAATCTCTGGGCACTATTTTCACGCAATCTTCATTTCGTTTACACCATAAGTAAACCCCATTCATCCCACCTGCAGCCCATTTTCGATTCACCATCACTAAATCCCATTCGGAACAATCTCATCCCATCTGCAGTCCAATTCATCCCATCTTCATCTCATTACTTAACTACAGTTGGGACTACCTCACCGAGCCGCAGGCCGTTTAAACCCCATTCGTAACCCTCTCGTCCCATCTGAATTTCAATATCGTTCAATCAGCTGCTCTTTTTCAACATCACTTTACCTTATTCGAAACCACCTCACCCGTCATCACATCACTAAACCGCATTCGCAGCCATCCCATCTCATATGCAGCCATTGTCACCATCACTAACCCCAATTTGAAACCAACACATTCCATCTGTAGCCCAAATATCTTACCGTATATGAAACCCAATCTAGTCCTATCCAATCCACAAATTATTCGTCGTCTCAATAAGTCTAATCATATACCATTAAAAATAATTATTTCTCCATGACCAACCACACAAACGTCGCTTCATTAAGTCTACCCGCACATATTTCTCCATTTTAAGTAACATCGATTTGGATTTGACTTTTGGACACGTGTTTTGGTAGCACGTTTCTGTAAATTTGATAATCAGTATTTACGACTAACCGAATAGAATCTGTAAGATGTAAATTACGTACACCTTTCTTTTGTCATTCATATCAATTGCACTGAATTGAATGTTAGTGATACTATATTAAGCTGAATGTAAGACGATCCCGTCTGTTTACGTAGGAGTGTCACCCCCGCATTTGCATATTTAACATTTCTCTTCCGGTTTTGATAATATGGCTGTTCCATGGACGTTAACATGAATCGTGAGTCAATTTCAAACCTCATTACTCTTCCACCCACGCCTCATTAATTAAAGAAGGACGACAGGTTCACCGCCGTATTGAATGCATTTGCATAATATTGCAATATTTCAAATCTCATAGCACGAGACACCTGATTAAAGGCGACGTGAGCAATGTTATTTTTTTAATCTGACTGAGTAAATAAATGCAAAATTATCATACGTAATTCTCGGAATAACATTAATCATATATCATAACATAACAGGTGATATACTTTAAAGGTGAATAAAGCGATATTATTTGTTTTAATGCTACTGTATGAATGAACGAACGAATGAATGAATGAACGAACAAATGAATGAATGGTTTGAAGGACAAAAGTATGATAATTATATTTTAGTTCTGTCGATGGTATTTACAAGTTATGAAATATTAATTTAACATGGATTTGGAAATTGTTCCCAAAATGTAATTTTGAAACAGTTTTATTTACCAATCACATATTTCGTACAAAGCACAAAATCCAAAAATTTGGTGACTTATTAGGTTAAAAGCTGTTGCTGACATTTTTGAAACAAAAATGTAACAGAGTTCCCTATTTATTATTTATTGGAGTTATAGTTATAATATTTAAAATAATTCCGCCCACATACACATATGCAATTAAAGCCATTACATTTACATACTTCCAAATTAATAGCATCACAATTCGCTTTCTCTGATTTGGTAGTTTCCATGTTTTTTACGGTTAAAGTGGTAAATCAATATAGTAGACAATATCGAAACGATATATACGTGGCATATTAATTATTGTGTCGAAAGGTTTGACGAATTAGACAAGTTTCCGTTTCGCTTACAGGCATTCAACCATGTTTAAATCTAACTATTGCTTGATTAAGTAGCACTTGATTGAGTTGTTTTTAATTAATTAATTAATTAATTAATTAATTAATTAATTAATTAATTAATTAATTAATGAATAATGTTATGTCAAAATTAAACACGTGATACTTTACGTAAATTATTTCAATATATTAAGCCCGCATCGTCCATAATTGGTGTGAGACGTTTTAATAATAATGATTTTAGCCAATTAAGTAATCACCGGTATGATAAATTTGGGAAAAATGCAATATATGTGTCGACAATTTCCATAATGTCAAAGGAGCATTATTGATAACTTTGAGTATTCGGTGGTATTTTGTTGGTAAAACATAGCGTTGTTTTACTCATAAACTGACTGAGTATTCGTTTGTTAATACAATGAACTTTTTAATGAACTTTTAATTGCGCATGTTCACTGAATTACTTGTACGTACTATTAATTCAAAGTGAATTCCCAGTATTTCAGCGTGTATTTTCTCATCAACCGAATACCATATGTAGTGCAGAACAACATTTTAATTTATAGTTATAAATTATAGTGCAGTGCGTATCAGGTATATCGACAATATTTTAAACAATATACGAACCATATAACCCTAACGATCGTAAT